GGGTTGCGATCCCGTTACCGGTCAGTAAAAAAGACAAAAAGGGGAAAAAAAAAAAAAAAAAGTGAAAAACTGAGATTACGTATAGTTCAGGAAAAAAAAAATCTAGTCCCACCAACCCCTACACACATCTCACTGCCACACAGCACACACGGGTGGGTGCTCTAGTGTGGGGGCCTTGGCTATACTAGGACCACCTCCGTCTCCTGTCCCCTGCTCCCATACATAATCAACGTGCTGTACCTTTAACTTTGCTTCTACTCTCTGGCCTTTCCTATCAGAGCAAAATAGCAGTTTCACCAGCTGGACAATTGGGGCAAGGTGGGGTGGGGAAGAACTCCTTGGCAGGCTTTTGCGGTTGAGGCAAAGAGATAGTGTGCAAAGAAAGGCGGAGTGTTTGTCCCCAGGGAACTTGACGTGGTAGAGAGAGAAGAGGTTATGGAACTAACTGACTGTGTGACATTTGTCAAGTCACAAGCAGGTTTGAAAAAAATACTCACAGAATGAATAACATTCCCTGTTTGCATCTCAGTTTTCCCCACAGAGGAGGAAAAAGTCCAAATAGAGAGTCCCTAAGGACCTCGCAGCTCCAGGACTCAGGTCTACATTGAATGCCTAAGCACAGATCTCAGAAATGCCTTGCAAGTGCGTGTGTATCGGGTAGTGCTGGAACGATAAAAGGTACAAGGGCAGGAGGAACAGTAAGAGCTCAACCTAGTAGAGCCTGTGTGGCCTCACAAGAATCAGCTGGGAAAGCTGGGGCACTGAACAGGAAGTGCCTTGCAAAATGTCACACTCAAAGTCTGGCTTTTAAGATTTGCAGCCTGGGGTAGACTCACCGATGCGCCCATGATGATGAATATGTGTGTATCTGATTGGTGGAAGTCATCGCCTTGGTACAGCTCTTCCCGCAGGATCCCGCACACCTGCGTCCGGCTCAGGGCCACCTGCTCTGCCATGATGCTGTCTGGTGGAAAAAAGGCTCATTGATAAGGCATGAGAACAGAAGAACATTGAGAAGTTGGCCCTTTCCTAGAGACGTCCTCTGGGCTCTCATCAGACTAGTGCCTGATTTACCGAAACTACTCGCTGCGAACGCGTGGTGATGGGGGGAGGCAGCTTCTGGACTCCAGCCATACTCTCCCAGGTAGCCTTCTTTCAAGGCGTACATTACAAACTTAGCCAAAGGAGCATCAATTCTGGGCAACAGAGTAAAACCCTGCTGGGACCCATTCACAAATGTCACACAGTCAGTTCCAGAGGCAGGGACATGCCCAGGACCATCTCACTCCGGACTCTGGCGCAAACTCCACAATGAGCTGGAGCATGTTAGATTGTGTAGACGATGGAGTTCAGTTCCAGCCCTCCCCCTGCCCAGCTGTGTGACCTCGGCAACTCCCCTCCCCTCTCAGGGTCTCAATGGAGGCGGTGCCGGGGCTCAAAGGGGTCGGTTAAGGCTCTTTCGATTCGGCTCCATTCCCAAGCACGGGCAGCGCGGTGCAGCGGCGGACAGCACGGCCCTCCGCCGGTGAGCCGCCCGCCCGCCCGGTTACCTGTGCCTCGTCGCCGCCGCCCGGCACGCTCTCAGGCCCGGAGTGCGCGGCTGTTTCCGGGGGCTGCGCCTCGCCGACCCCTTTAACCAGCGTAGGCGGGCGCCCGGGCTGAGCAGATCCGCCTAAGGCTAGACGCGCGGGGCGTGGCCTCGACCGCCCCTACCGAGTGGGCGGGGGG